CCCCCCCCCTCCACCTATATACAGGGTGTCCGGAAAATGAATACCTTTTGAAATCAAACCTTTATTGGAATTTGAATGCCTTATTACTATATGTTAAACTCACGGGTGCTCAAATTTGACAATTTTTTACGCAGTTATGCTTTATACGTTTAGAAGCTATTTTAAATTCCCAGGAGTAGAACATCTTGTACTTAACATGAATGGAGTTATATTTATGATTGAAGGTCTTGATTTTCAATACACCCAGTATTTTACCACGCTTCCGTGGGTTTAGCATAATGCTCAGGCATTCAAATTACTACAACAGGAAAATTTCAATAGGTATACTTTTTTCTGTATACGAGTATAGGTGCAAAGTTTCTATTACGCAATTAATTGTCATTGCATGGTTGCATGATACCTGAATTATAAAAGTCCGTGGAAGGATCAAGCTTGTATAGCAACCGTGAAGGGTTGAATGAAATGTCCGAGCAGGGACAAAGCTTGTATTATGCAACGGTAAATCGGGTTGCATGAAACATACATTACCAGGAGGTGTAGGCCGTGTGCCGTGGTCTGAAAAGTGCCTAGAAAATCAATTTCATGGCACCTCTCTGGGAAATGGGTTTTCTGTGGTTGGATACATAGGACAATAGATGTTCAATCACCAAAAAAGTTCCCAAGAAAAATATTGATGACGTCAGCAAAATTTAAAGAATTTTAAATCCGCCAAACTAAATCAACACATTGAAAAATTATGTAGAAAAGTGATTCACAGCAATTGAATTGCTCTTCATTATTTAACTATATTTATTACTCGATTGAACTGGATATATTTATGAATCAAAATTTCTTTTTTCATAGCTTTTTAGCAGTCTCCGGCGGATGAAAAATAACAAAATCTATATCCACCGAATAGTGTCTATTTCGACTATTTTGAGCCTATTTTAATTGGCCCTTGATTGCATGGTGTAATTTAAAATATATTTTAGTATTAATACGTTAGCATTTTATACTTATCCATAGTTTTACAACTTTTCGGGCTAACTGGCGGGTGTCCAGGTATCCAGAGACGGGGCCCACCATACTTGTGGGGCCCCTGGCAAAAATGACCATAAAATTTTTGCTCGTACATTGAGCAATTTGGGCCGACCCTCAGTTATAGAAGGCCAGAAAATTTGAAACGGGTGGCTTAAAAAGCAGAAATTGGTAAAATTGTTAAATTTAGACCCCTTTTTTATTAGACATGGATGAGGAAAAATTTTTGTGACTTTTTTTAATTGTTATAGTCCGGAAACTTTTCTTGAATCCCTTTTTAATAAATATTGTTCGAAAACGAAAGTGGTTCATTAAACAGTTGCTGATGGGAAGTAAACCGAACTCATCAGATTGAGAAGACATTTACTGTGTTATCTTGTGCACAAATAATTTGAGAAAAATACAAATGAAGTTAATTTAATAAATACAACAATTAGTACACGCATATACCGACATCAAAAGAGAACTGTCATCATCAACAACACTGACAACGACAAAGCAACAATGACAAAGACAACGACAACGACAAAGCAACAATGACAACAACAGCATTGGCAACAACAACAACAACAACAACAACAACAACAACAACAACAACAACAACAACAACAACAACAACGACGAGAACGACAACGACAACGGCAACGACAACGACGACGACGACGACAACAACGACGACGACAACGACGACAACAACGACAACGACAACAACGAGAACAAAAACAACAACAACAACAACAACAACGACGACGACGACGACAACAACGACAAAAACGACATTGACAACAACAACAATGGCAACAACGACAACAACAACAACAACAACAACAATGACAACAACAACGACAACAACAAAAACGACAACAACAACGATAACAATGACAACAACAGCAACGACAACAACGACAACAACAACGACAACAACAACAACAACGACAACAACAACAACAACAACAATGACAACAACAACGACAACAACAACGAAGTGATACAACATACAAATGAAGTTAATTTAATAAATACAACAATTAGTACATGCATATACAGACATCAAAAGAGAACTGTCATCATCAACAACACTGACAACGACAAAGCAACAATGACAACAACAGCATTGGCAACAACAGCATTGGCAACAACAACAACAACGACGACGACGACGACAACGACAACAACGACGACGACAACGACAACAACGACAACAACAACAACAACAACAACCACCACAACGACGACGAGGACGACGACGACAACGACAACAACGACGACAACGACGACAACGACGACAACAACGACGACGACGACGACAGTAACACCTGTGTGTAAGGAAACAAGCGTAAAAGCAGAGAAATAATGAAAGAACTTCACAATGCCAGTCGCGCGTCAAGCATTCGAAAGTTCAAATACTTAGAGGTGACGTTCATCCACCTAACTTATATGGATGATGAAATCAGTTGACGACGAAGGGTACTGCTTGTATTATATTTGGTAGCTATTAGGATAACCGGATTAGTGCAGCTTACTCTCCGTATCATGACAGTGGCGTGCTGGGTACTATTTTTCTGGGGGGGCCAGTCGACTGGCAACCAAAATGCGCCCCTATACTATTACGGTTGATAAACGAGGGCCGAAGGCACGAGCCGAGCGCCGCAGTTGCGAGGTTTGTCTAGGGGGGTCCGGGGGCATGCCCCCCCGGAAAATTTTTGAATTTAGAGTTTCTGAAATGCCATTTCCTGGACTTTGGGGGGAAGATTTGACAGAAATCTGATGGTCAGGAAACGGCATTACAACGTGTCGAAATTTGCAAATTGGTTAGAATTTAGTAGTAGTACTTAAATTGGGCAATGCTAACTACTTCCAGCAATTAATCTAATTCCAATTCTATTTTCTACTGATCTAGTGATCTGAGTACATTGACAACTTACAGCCCTTTTATATACAATAACACACGGACCACACGCATATGCATTTTAAGGTTTCCTCGCCTGGCTGCCAAAAGGGCGCGTTTCAGCATTATATCTCATTACTTACATTACTCATGATGTTTCTTGCGCAAACAACTAAATTGCGTACACAAATTTACATTATCATAACTTCAACTATCTAATTTGCGCCGCTCATGTGATTCGTGAAGCATAATAAAGGGCATAATATACGGGCATAATACCAGCAAAAAAGGGCATAATTCCCGTGATCGCTTCGAAGCCTGATCAATATTCTGGTAATGAGACATTGCGTGTGATCACTGATCGTGTTTCTATATGAACGAGTGATTTCGTGTCAGTCGTGAGGTAGCAAATACGGTTAGACAAAATAGTCTGCAATTTAATATACTCACTTTGCCGCCTATGCGCTTAGTCTGTTTATAAGTCTATAAACACATCTTTCCTTGGCGGAATTAGTAACTATATTTTTTCGAATGCGTTTCTTCCCACCCACTTTCAAAACGCGGGATCGGCGCCCCCTTTTCATTTTTGCGCCCCCCAAGAATTGCCAGCTGGGGGGGGGGGGGCGTGGCCCCCCGGCCCCCCCTGCCAGCACGCCACTGTATCATGAACTGTTAATGAAACACGTCTAATGAGTCAGTTATCAAGAATTTATGAGGACTAAATGCTTAGCTGCTCACACTTCACCATGGAGTCCAACGGGAAATGGACGGATATCCATTCCTGAATGATAACTTACTACTAGAAAATACCCTCGCCTTGCTGACAAAAACATCATATTACTATAATCAGATGGCAGACGAACTGAAATTTTACTCTGGTTGACCAATTGTTGGAGTTTGTCAACTGTGGTTGTAAGAAAGGCTGCCTGTTGAACACAGCGATACTCTTGCGCTAAAGCTGGCCTTCCTTGCACAAACTTGTGGAAATGTGAGAATTGCGTAAATGATATTCCCGATATATCCGACGTTTTGGCCACTCTCTCCTTACCGGACGAACTTTCATCATCGTCAGATCCAATGACGGGACGTGACACTCGTTTTCTCAAAAAGATTAAAACACATCAGGACATTTCTTCTAATTATAATTGATTTTCCTTGTTATCGTGAACGAACGAAATGTAGTTAATTTAAAATATTTCATAATACCTTCTTCATCTGTGACTTCACCGACGAAGAACATTTGTATCATCGGTTCTGCAATGTTTGGAAACTGGCGATATTAATCAGTGACACTGAATTATTTGATTATTCATCCATGACGCGGATAACACTGAACCGAGTTGAAATTTAATAGACTCTTATGTAATATACGTACACGCCTGACTGCTCACATAAGACCCCTTCATACAGCACAAATACCAAATAAACCCCCCAGACTTGGAATAGGCGTGGAATTATTTTAAAAACTCGAAAATACATGCATGCAGAAAGTGCCAGAAACCCTCGCCTTGCTGACAAAACCATTGTATTTTCCGAACGTGACATGAAATATTTAATGTAGTTGTCATGGTAACACGATGTACAGAGTGAGTATTTGACCGGCAGCCGGTCATCTTTCTCAACATGTCTCAATTATATGTTACAAAAATGAATACATATATGAATACTGTGCAAGGCAGCAAAGTATTCTTGACACATGGTGGTTTCTCCAGACTCAACTAGACCCAATCTTCTGCGCGATCTATGTATGATCAAGATCTCGATCTTGTGTAAAAATCTTGTAACCCGGGGGGGGGGGTAATTAAGCGTCAGGAGCGTTTGTTAAATGAGGGGAGCGGTCAAAACAAGATTTTGTATTGCGCACGCACCTCCATATGTGCTCAATTTCCTCGAGATTTTTCAAGCTTTTAAATACGGATGGAAGACAGCAAGAGATCGAAAATATTCGGAAAAATTCAGGTATTAAGTATGGCTCTGTTTCTTTCTTCTAAAACACATCAAGGCGATGACCTTT